TTCGTTTTTGCCATTGGGGGCCGTCCATAAATGGCGTCACGCGATTTTGGACGATTTTTGACCCCCCTCCCTCATCACACGGCATCACAAAAAGTCAGACCCCCCCTCAAATATGATGTCACAAAGCTCTGCCCCCCACCCCCAAAACCATATTTCCTTTTTGAAAATAAAACATGCTTCAAATCGCTTATTGTCATTGTAGTGCGTATCTAATGTGGCGCTGCACTCTGATGTTGTAGGAGTGTTGTTATAACAATTAGTGTTGTTGTAACAATTCTATTTTTATTTAAAGCTGCGCATTTTTACGTGACGTCACATTTCTCAACCCCCCCCCCCTCCAGACAAAAATGTCTGACCCCTCCCCCGGTGCGTGACATCATTTATGGACGGCCCCATTCACGATTAGGGAATGGTATCGCAGCATGACACTCGTGGATCTAAACATTTGTTGAAAGCAGTCCCCCGTGCAAATGGCATCAGAATGAAACATTCGTACGGGGAAGTTTTTTCGGTGTATTAAAATAAAAGTTGCCACACTTGCCATGTAATTCGAGTCCCTTCCTGTTTCCCGAAACGGACCGGTTCTCCTTGACAGCCCGTTCGTTGGTGTTGGTGGACAGTGGTTGACCAGTGAAGTGGTGCTCAACTGTTCACATTGACCAGCCGGGTGAAGTTTAGTGAAACGCCAGAAATGGTTAAATAGCATGGGAAGGTCTTCATTCAGTAGTGGATTGACTAAGGGCTCAATTATTTATCATGCAAAGAAATTGCCTGTTTCTGTTTGGTTCATCCACTGTGTTTGTGTGCACTCTACTTGTATACACAAGGTGGCAGTATTGCATGCATATTCAGATAATGAATATACGCCTTTCTATTTCATTTGCCAGTACAGTAAAACCTTGGATTGCGAGCATAATTCGTACCAGAAACGTGTTTGTAATCCAAAGCACTCGTATATCAAAGCACTCGTATATCAGTTGTCATCACGTGACGCTCGGCAGACAAAGCGTATACGTACTCCTCGTACTGCAATAACTCGCTCGTTATTAAAATTAATATTTATTTTAAAAATTTGCTCGTCTTGCAAAACACTCGCAGACCAAGTTACTCGCAATCCAAGATTTTACTGTATTGTTAATTTGAAAGAGTTTTGGCTAATGATGATGATGATGGGGGTAATGCTTGCACTTCTCATCGCCAGAACATCCAGAAGCTGTTGGGACTGGCTCCTTCGCGTGCTGCCACCAAGCAAGCTGGAGGATTCCTGGGACCACCTCCTCAGGCTGGGAAATTTTCGTGAAAGTCATGCCTGCATCTGCGAGGACTGCAAGGGCCTAATGGTGTTGTGAAGGAAAATACAAACTCTTCAAGATACGTGTACAGCAGTGGAAACTTGACATCACGCAACTGGGAAAGGCACCTGCATGTGACGTCCATCCTAAATTGTAGGGTGAAAGTTAGCCACTACAGAGATGTATCAGAAGGCTATAGACAGTTGTGTAAAATATTAAATGTATTGATAGGTCGTAATTGTATAAACAATATTGCTGTTCGATACACCAGATGCTGGCTCTTTGGAAGTCACTTAATTGCTGGGTTTGTATGCTGCATTGTGAAGTTTAAATAAAATCTTGAGCACCTTGAAATCAACATCATATGCCCAGGTATCTCTAACTTACACAACTATACATAATGCTCTCTTAGACTGATCCCCAATTACACGATTTATATACACGATTGAATAATTCAGGAATATTTCGAGCAAAAAAGTGGATGTACTCAAACCAAACTTAAAATGTTTCTCCTTTCTGAAAAAATAGATAAGTACATTGAATTCTATTTAAATGTGAAATGAGTTCATTAACATTTCTGATTTGTTTTTCCAAACCTCTGAAACAATGGGGGTTTCCCTTAAATGGTGCATTATGTAATTTTGTACTTTATAAAGTTCGTAACGTTCGTCACATCCGAATAATTGTTATGTATGGCATACCGCAAAATAAACATCTTACATTTTTACTCTACAGTGAATTTTGCAATGTTTAATACAAGCGTGTTTTTTTTTTAAACACTGGTTGTCTAGAGGTTAAAAACGAGCTTCTCGAAACACTAAACCTTTAAAAATGTGAATTGACGTAAAAAAAAAACGTGGTTGTTGCTTGTCTTTGTTTTTTGTGAAGAGTCGAGACAGTGTAGTGTGGGAAGTGGTAATGTAGTCGTTACCACGACCCGAATTCCATTTCCTCTCATGGCCACCAAAAACTGACGATTATCTGAACCATTACCCGGTGCCATGTGTAAAAATCGCCACGAGGAAGACAAAGGCGGCCGACCGAGCGTGCAACTGGCCACACCCACCCGTCATGCGCCGTGCCGAACTGAGAGGCGCTCGCTCACAGCACTTGCTCCAATGGTCTGTGAAGGCTGCACAGATGATTTTTGTCTTTGCTGTGGACAGGGGTGGATCGGTGCCGTAGTGGTTAACGCACTGCGGAAAGAACTTGGGAGTTTGATTCCCGGCCATGGCTAACATCGGTAATATCTGTACCGATCCTGCCCCTCCCTTCATCCAGCATGAATCGGTATGGTCAACCAACCCCATTACCGACATGGAATCAGGAGGCCTTCAGTAGTGGACTCACAGGTATCTTGTTTTAACAGGTGTTAGAGCTCTAGGACATTCATGCAAGAATGTTAACGTTCAGCAGGCAGCACGCACAGCATGGGAGCCTGTTTGATCTCAGTCCAACCGAGACATCTAAGAAAACATTTTACCAGGTAAGGCCCATAGATATATAGCTCTTTTCCAGAAGCAACCTGGCCAAAATGATAGTCCAAATGAAGTGGCTTATGTGGCAATTGATAGCCAAATACTCAACAAATGTTTCTACACGTGGAGGGAAACCCAGGAGAAAAAGCCACGCGCCTACGGGCAGAACATGCAAACTCCAAATACACAGCAGGCGTCAGGGGTCGGGATCGAACCCACGACCTACTTAGCAGCCGACCCACCGCGGCGCCACATCAAAGCCACCCTGTCAACTCCTGCGACAACCGCTTATCGGAGACATCGGCCGTGAAGCAAGGAGGCTTGGGCAGGACACGTCAATAGGGGTCACCAGTGGCAGAATGACCACTCTAGGCACGGAACGATGGAATCGCAGGACCGTAAGACGCTCATAGCTCAGTGAGCCTTAGCTGGTAAGATAATAAGTATAACCAGTAAAAACAAAGTTTTTCACTATAAATTCTTTATATGCGTGACGGCTAGAGTCCTCTCGTCCTCTGGCTTGAGATGGCTGCCACCTATGGGTCAGATGATTGTGTGCCAGCATTAACCAATTGGTAAATAAATATTTTTAAAAAATTCCCTAAACAATGTAAACATTTTTAAAACATTTTCTACGTGACTTTACCGAAAGAACCAAGAAGATGAATCCCTGCAGTCACGAAAGCTTTAAATCGAAAATTTATTAATGTATTTTACGATACTATTACAATTAAAAACTTTTAATATATCAGGTAAGGCCCACTGAGCTATACAGCGCGTTTTCAGAAACGACCTGACCACAAATGAAAGCCCAACGAAGTGGCTTATCACGTGGAAATATAAAGCAACCAAATACTCTAAATGTGGAGAGAAAAACCGGAGGACCCGGAGAAAAATCCACGCGACCACGGAGAAAGACATGCAAACTCCAAATATACAGCAGGCGTCAGAGTCAGGATCGAACCACGGCCTCCTGTATACCAGGCGAGGTAATTTAACTCTCATCTTGAGATATCCCTCATGGCCCTGCAAGGCGTGGGGAGACCCTCAGCCAGCAGCAGATAACCACACGAGTCGTGCAAGTACATGCCCAACAACAACAACACGTCTTCTTGGTTCTTTCGGTAAAGTCACATAGAAGGGAAGTAATAAAATAATAAAAATAAAACATAATAAAATAATTCTCACGACGTTTCGGCCACAACGCAAGCAGCCGTCCTCAGGTGAAAACCAGGTCTGTCGAGGTGACAGCGTCTGAATGAAACAGCACACGAGCTTGGAGCATATATATAAGCTGGGTTGGAAGGGGGGGAAAGGGCGCTTCGACAAAAGAATTTGCATATCAAGAGGAATTTTGCATATTTATGGGAAATGCAGGAATGTGATTAGTACTATATACTGAAACTTCTCAATCATGTGAGGCCATCTCCTGTGAAGGGACACTCAAGAAGAGCCTGTGTGCCATTAGTCACCAGGGTTGCTCACTCTGCCAAAGCTTTAATATACAGTGCAACACCTCCACATGTATTTACAGTGTAGTATCGCATGCTATATCGTCTATACGCCTCTACAAATTAAATATGAGTGCAGTCAATAATTCAGATGTCACGGTAACACAGTCGGAATAAAAAAAATAGACACCGCAAATCCTACCACGATGCGATTTGCGAAAATGCGACCGACAGCTTTCCATGGCAATGACCCAACTAGCACCGAGTTGCAGTGTCGCGATGATGAGTTGCAGACACGAGACTGATTGAGATGTATGGAGATCGAGCCACGGAATCTGTCGATCTGTCCAGGTGCACACACACACGCCGATATGTGTCCTCTCTCTGTGTGTCCTTGTGATGTCTGTCTGCTTGTATGTCTGTCTATAGTTTTCTAGTTATATTTTTGTTGCTATTTCTTTTATGCCTGATGATGATTGCTTGTGTTGCAATCGAAACGTCGTAATATGCAATTATTAAATTTATTATTTTATCTTTAGACGTGACTTAACCGAAAGAACCAAAGAAGAAGAATGAATCCAGAGTTTCTCTCCTTCACCGCGTGATGGCAGTATGATCCAAGAAAACAATTAACGCATTGGCTGGCGTGTGTTAAAAAAAACCCAGTTAGTGTGGCCTGGAAGATGAAGATCGAACGCGTTGGGCGTGTTATTCTTGAGCCCGTGTGGTTGACGTCAGGGAGAGCTCGCCTGCCTGAGCAGGGCTCGGATGCACAGCCGTGTTCGGGGCGACCCATGTGCGTGGCAGCATCAGCATCATCAGCAGCATCAGCAGCCGCAGCATCACCCGCAGAGAAGACTTTTTGTTTGTCGTTGCTTGTAAAATCGAGCCCATTTTTACGACATTTCGGTAGCCTCGCACGCCGGGAGGAAGGTGGTGGGAGTGGTGGGAGTGGTGGTTGTGGCCGGGCTCTTTTCTCCTCTGTCTAAGGCAGCGTCTCAACAAAAGGGGCGAGAGAAAATCAGGCGCTTGTCTGTCAGCCCCAGGCTGTCCTGGGAATCCAGCGTGGCACGGACGTGGACGCGGGACGAGAGACGGGCAAGGTTGCTGTGAAAGACAACGGCGACGTTTCTCACGGATTGCTCGGTCGATTTGGTCGTTCGTGATTTCTCTCCGTGACCGCGTTGTTTTTATGCGGACCGGTTGAGCCGGAGAGGTTTGGACTTTAATCCGGTGCCCGAAGTCACCTGCCCAGCCTACCTGCTGCACGCCTTGCGTCCTAACACCCGAGGATGGACATCAATACGGCAGCTGCGGCTCAAGGAGGTGCTGCTGCTGCTACTTCTACTGCTGCTGCTGGAGGAGCAAGTGGCGATGTCAGTCATCGTCCATCTGCTACTGATGCCGGTAATGGTCCTGGAGCGAGTGCTGCGAGCGGAGAACTTGGTGGTGGAGGTCGCCCTTCTCGTGCCAGTGCTGGTGCTGTCGGTGGAAGTGGAGGCGCTGTAACAAGTGGTGGTGGTGATGGTGGAGGTCTCCCAGCCCTTGTTCGTGTTGGTGTTGGTCCTCTTGTTGCTGGATCTCCTGGTGGAGCCCTTGGTGGTGGAGTTCGACCAACTCTTTCTCTTGCTGGTGCTGTTTCTCCTGGTGGTGGAGCACCTGGTGGTGGAGAACGACCAACTCTTTCTCTTGCTGGTGCTGTTTCTACTGCTGGTGGTGGAGCACTTGGTGGTGGAGGTCGACCAACTCTTTCTCTTGCTGGTGCTGTTTCTCCTGTTGGTGGAGCACTTGGTGGTGGAGGTCGACCAACTCTTTCTCTTGCTGGGGCTGTTTCTCCTGGTGGTGGAGCACCTGGTGGTGGAGGTCGACCAACTCTTTCTCTTGCTCGTGCTGTTTCTCCTGGTGGTGGAGCACCTGGTGGTGGCGGTCTACCAACTATTTCTCTTGCTGGTGCTGTTTCTCCTGTTGGTGGAGCACTTGGTGGTGGAGGTCGACCAACTATTTCTCTTGCCGGTGCTGTTTCTCCTGTTGGTGGAGCACTTGGTGGTGGAGGTCGACCAACTCTTTCTCTTGCTGGGGCTGTTTCTCCTGTTGGTGGAGCACTTGCTGGTGGAGGTCGACCAACTCTTTCTCTTGCTGGGGCTGTTTCTCCTGTTGGTGGAGCACTTGGTGGTGGAGGTCGACCAACTCTTTCTCTTGCTGGTGCTGTTTCTCCTGTTGGTGGAGCACTTGGTGGTGGAGGTCGACCAACTCTTTCTCTTGCTGGGGCTGTTTCTCCTGTTGGTGGAGCACTTGGTGGTGGAGGTCGACCAACTCTTTCTCTTGCTCGTGCTGTTTCTCCTGTTGGTGGAGCACTTGGTGGTGGAGGTCGACCAACTCTTTCTCTTGCCGGTGCTGTTTCTCCTGTTGGTGGAGCACTTGCTGGTGGAGGTCGACCAACTCTTTCTCTTGCTGGTGCTGTTTCTCCTGTTGGTGGAGCACTTGGTGGTGGAGGTCGACCAACTCTTTCTCTTGCTGGGGCTGTTTCTCCTGTTGGTGGAGCACCTGGTGGTGGAGGTCGACCAACTCTTTCTCTTGCTGGGGCTGTTTCTCCTGTTGGTGGAGCACTTGGTGGTGGAGGTCGACCAACTCTTTCTCTTGCTGGGGCTGTTTCTCCTGTTGGTGGAGCACCTGGTGGTGGCGGTCGACCAACTCTTTCTCTTGCTGATGCTGTTTCTCCTGTTGGTGGAGCACCTGGTGGTGGAGGACGACCAACTCTTTCTCTTGCTCGTGCTGTTTCTCCTGGTGGTGGAGCACTTGCTGGTGAAGGTCGACCAACTCTTTCTCTTGGCCGTGCTGTTTCTCCTTTTGGTGGAGCCCTTGGTGGTGGAGGTCGACCAACTCTTTCTCTCGCTCGTGCTGTTTCTCCTGGTGGTGGTGGAGCACTTGGTGGTGGAGGTCGCCTTATTCTCCCTAACGCACGTGTTGTTTCTGCTGGGGGTGGAGGAGGTGTTACAAGTGGTGGTGGTGGTCGCCCCACTCTTGCTAGTGCTGTTGCAGCTGGTGGTGGTGTTACAAGTGGTGGTGGTGTTGGAGGAGGTCATCCAGCTTTTGCTAGTAGTCTTGCAGCTGGTGGTGGACGAGGTATTACAAGTGGTGGTGGTGGTGGAGGAGGTCACCCAGCTCTTGCTGGTGCTATTTCCGCTGCTGGTGGAGGGAGTCACCCAGCTGGTGCTGTTTCATCTGGTGCCGGTAGCGGAGCCCTTGGTGGTGGAGGTCACCCAGCGCTTGCTGGTGCCGTCGCTGCCGATGTAAGTGGAGGAGGTGTCGCAGGTGGAGTTCGCCCTTCTCTTGCTAGCGCTGGATCTGTTTCTGCTGCTGCTGGAGGTGTTACAAGTGGTGGTGGCGGAGGTCACCCGGCTCTTCCAAGTGCTGTTGCTGTTGCAGCTGGTGGAAGTGGAGGAGGTGTAACAGGTGGTGGTGGAGGTCGCCGCTCTCTTGCTAGCGCTGGTGTTGTTTCCGCTGCTGCTGGTGGAGGGGGTGATGCAAGTGGTCGTGGTGGGGGAGGAGTTGACCCAGCTCTTGCTAGCGGTGGTGCTGTTGCTGCAGGTGGAAGTGGAGTTGGTACAACCAGCAGTGTTAGCTGTGGAGGTCGCTCTACTCCTGCCCGTGCTGGTGCTGTTGCTGCTGCTGGCGCTGGTGGAGGAAGAGCAGGTGGAGCAAGGGGTCGCGGTGGTGATGGTGATGGTCGCCCTGTTGCTCGTAACGCTGGTGGTGCCGGTGGTGCAGGTGACCCTACTGCTGCTCCCGCTGGCGAAAGTGACGTCGGCCCTCCAAGTGCTGCAGCCGCCGCCGCTGCTGCTGCTCCTACTACTGCTGGAGTTGGTGGCGGTGTTGCTGCAGATGGAGCTCACGGTGGACAAAAGCTCACCTGTCCAGCGGCCGAAACCTCCGCTGGATCCACCGCGAAAGCCAAGAGACGGAGCTTCTACCTCGGCGACAGGATGCGCGTCGCGTCCACAGCGAAAGGTGGCCCCGACCACGGCTACGATATCTGCTTCAACTTCTTGAGGCACGCCTTCGACACCCTCCTGCTCTTCTTTCTCGGGCTCTGCTCCCCCGCGCTTCGGGTCATCCTGGACGTGCTGGGCTTGGGAGGAGGCGTCTTCAAGTATGGCCTCTACGGCATGGCCATCTTCTTGGTGTCCGTGTACGGGCTGTCCTTCGTGTTCACGCTCATGAGGACCTACATCGTGGAGACTTCGATTGTGTTCGCCGTGCTGCAGTGTCTGGTGCTGGCGGTCAGCCTGAGGAACAGCGACTGCTGAGGGCATCTTGAAGATGTCCTCTCTGTGTGTGGGCGGTGTGTGTGCGTGCTTCATTTTCAGCCACCGGTTTAATGAGGGTTCTTGTCGGTCCTTGACCATCCGTGAAGGCGGCTGATCTCGCTTGCGATGATTGATGTCGCAAATGATTGTGCGTAATATTGGTCGGTGTCGGGGGGGGGGGGGGGTGATGACTTCTGTGACAGGACCAGCCAGCAAACCCTTGATGTCCGGAGTTTCCCTTTTCTCGTCATTCGAATGTAAATGTGAGCTTTGCATGCGTCCATTTAAACAATCTCCCATCTCGTGTTCGTGCTGTGAATCGGGGATGTAACTTTTATTGTTGTTATTATTATACAGTGATTTTATAAACATACCACCGAGACCCCCCCCCCCCCCCCCCAAGAAAATATACCGACAAACAATTTTAACCGTCGTCAATATGTGAAACCGCAAGACGTGAAGGAAGACGGGTGGACAATTTAAAAAGTAGACATCAAACATCGGAAAAGCTGTGATTGTTGCGTTTCCCTGGGACATTGTGCAATCACGGTTATTTATAGCGGACTGCGTCATATCTGGATGAATTGAAATCGTCACATTTGCCACGGACTTGAGAAAATATTTGATGACATTTACTGCACAGCATCCTTCGAGGCATGCGGTGTAATGTGTCGTGAAAGGTTGGTTTTCTAAGGGAGTTTGGGAATTTGGTGAATGTGAAGATTATGAGCGCAGCTGCTGATCTTCATTTAAGTAAGTCCTGTGTAGTGATCAAAACACTCCGGTTCCTTGTGAAAACAGTTTGTTACCGAAGGGAAACAAAGAGGTTTTGTAAAAAAAAAAAGTATAAAAAAACACATCTCGTGAGATATGAGAAACGTACTGCATTCTCTTCCAACCTCGAGTGAGAGCACATTTATTAAATGTGTTGGAAGCTATTGCTGTGATTGTCTTTGCCCTACAGTATTGGATGAGCTTAAATTAGAAATGCATCGGTCGATGTAATCGGGGTGTCGTGTTAGTGAAGTGTTTGCGAGTCAATATAATTCACTGAGTAACGCAATAATGCCTTCTTAATTTGACCACCGCTGCAAAAAATGCGCAGACTATCTGAAAAAATGCCCTTTTTGAACTTGGAGGAGACAGAGTTGAAAGAATTTTTTAAAAACTCTAAAAACATTTTTACCAGGTAGGGCCCACTGAGCTAAGTAGATTTTTTTCAGAAGCAACCTGGTTATCACAAATAACAGCCCAACGAAGGGGCTTACGTAGAAACTTACAGCAGCCATTTCGCCTAAACGCATGTTTCTAAATGTGGAGGGAAATCCAGAGGACTCGGAGAAGAGTCTATGCGACCACGGAAAGAGAGAGACACGCAAACTCCAAATATACAGGCGTCGGAATCGAACCCACGATCTCCTGTGTACCAGGCGAGGTAGTTAACATCTCGCCACCATGGGACATGGTTGGGAGTCGTTGAGGCGAGAAGGAAAGTGGGAAAACAACTCCAATGTTTTGAAAAGGGAGCTAATTGCACCAACAAATGTCAGTGCAGTATTGGGTTTTACAAATCCTGTGCTAGAATACCTCGTCGTTTTTTTTAATGTGACGTTTGTTATGCAAAACAATACTCTTTAGATGGCAGTGTTATCACCGTTGACTTTTCAAGTTGACGATTTGATCGATTAAGCCATGTTTTAGAGATGTCAGCCAATATGTGATGTGTGTGCTTTTGAGTGTGCCAACCCTCTATTATATTACAGTAATTTGTATCTTATAAGAATGTCGTGTGATGGAAGTAATGCATACCTTGGGTACGTTTAACCCCCATAATTACTTGCGTTGGGGATTGACTTCCGATTACGGAGCATACCACTCTTTTTACCTGTACTCTGTCATCTTAATCTAACCATGTAATGTGTTTTATAGGGTTCAAGACCCATTCTGGGTCATGGTCTATGGCCAATTTGCTTACAAGGTACATCAACCCTTACAATACCAATAACCTGAAACCATTTGCATATCTTAATTGTAAGAAGGAACCTTGATGATAGTGTTAAGTTTTGGAGGTGATAGATTTACATTTAGAAGGAACGATTTGAAATACCTGTTATAAGATTAACACGTATTTGGAATGAGTTCCAACTTAAGGATGTAACAATGTTATTTTTATATATATAAATCTACCATATACTGTAATTGCACGGATGGTTAATCAAAGTTTGCACCTACATTTGTTCAAACTCATCGTTGTTTTTCTGTTTCGTGAAATTCACTTTAATTTGTATCGCGAGGACGCAAGGTTACCTGCATCGTCAGGATGAGAAACTGCAACTCTCAGTAGCGGAACTTTATTTTCATTGGTGGGCAAACGCTTTGCGGTGTGACGGGAGCGATGGGAAGTTACGTAAAACACTATTTCGAGAACAAAAGCATCACCCTCCGCTTTATTTAAAGCAGCGGCAGTGGAGTGAGTGAGGTGGGAGCCACAAGGGAGACCTTCCCTGCCCGCCTGCCCACTCCGTCGTCACGGAAGGAATTCGCGTGACCCTGTGTCTCGCACGCACCCACGCCGTCACGGTGTTCATCCCCGAAACCCTAAACCAATGAGGCCGCTCTTAAGGTGTCCTGCAGCTCCCGTGAAGACCAGCTGTTTCCAAGCGCAGCGAAAGCCACGTCTAAATTGGGAATACAGTGCTGTCCGCTTGGCGTTTTGATCGTTTTGCTGGTTGGATTTCCCGAGTGTGTAACAGTGGTGTATTCTTGTACAGTGTAGTCTGAAAGGTTTTTTTCTTTTTTTTACTACGACTACAATGGAAGTCCTTGCTGTACTCACTCGCGTCTCTTGGTTTTACTGTGGTAACGAGCAGTGTTGAGGCTCAGTGTTAAAAAGTACAAGCCTTCATTTGAGAGAGAGTCCCTGTCTGCCGCGTGCTTTTTCATTGTATCTGAAGCAAGTGCTGTATAAAGAATAGCCCCTTTTTAAATTAACGGAAAAATCAACTGGCTTCGTATAAATTACTTGACGAAATAATTAGTGGGTAAACCGAGATTTTAAAAAAGACGTATTCCTCAATGTGCCAAGTTATACGCCTCCCTTAAGCATCTCGTTGGGGTGAAGCAGTGACACGGTGGTTCGTGCACTGCACCACAGATCCCTGCAGCCTGAGTTCCATTCCTGGCCAACAGGTGACATCAGTGGCAGGTGATGCCTTCAACTGTCCCAGAGCCCGATCCTCACTGTGAACAGTTTTTGGTCAAAGAACCCACCAAACGCATGCCACGGTGTGGGGAGGCCTTCATCCAGCAGTGAATTAACAAGGGTCTGGACAGCTATCTTCATAACAACGTAATCATGAGCGAGCATCATTGTGGCTAGTATAAGTTAAAAAAAAACCAATCCATGAGCAGACGATACCTCCGTCAGAAATGTGTCCCTACACATCCCATCGGCGACAGGGCGTACTGGAAGTGCTTCATTTCAGCAGCTTTGGTTGAGGAGGAGGTTTAGTAATTATATGTTTTAATCTCTTGATCTAACGATTGCACCAAACCGGTTTTGTAATTGTGTGAAACGGGCTAATTATATGACTGTCTACTATGGGTTGTTTAACGTTCAGCCACTTTTGCTATGATATCGTTCAGCTCGGTGCGCATGGCATGGCCATGGCAGAGGTCGCAACCGGGTACCCGATACCCGTACCCTACCCGATACCCGGCTACCCGTACCCGGCCGGGTACGGGTACCCGTTTGCGACCCTAGTGTGGCCGGGTACAGGTAGGCCGTGAGTCACTGGTGAGTAACCGTTTGTCACTCATTTCGGGTAGGGTACGGGTACGGGTAGGGAACGGGTACCCGTACCTGGCCGGGTACGGGTACCCATTTGCCACCCTGGTGTGGCCGGGTACGGGTAAGGAATCAAAACCCGTTTGCGACCTCTGGGCCACGGGCAGCGTACGCAAGGTAACAGCAGCAGTAGGCAAAGAGGGCTTCTGTCCCAAAAAGTGGAAGGGGCCCCCCTACTGCTAATTTTGGCGAAGCACAGCGTGGCATTTGAAAACTGCCCTTTGCGGTTAGCATTCAGTATACCGCAGCAGAACTACAAGCTGTGCGAAAATAATCCTGGTGTTTTATTGTTAATATTGTGACTGATTCTCCACTCCATCAAAGCCCTCAAAAGAATAGCCGAGGTATCAAACACACCAACTGAGTCTTGTAGCTGTTACCAGTGCGGAGAATTGCCATCCTCCTTGGGTTTATTGCTTCAGCGGTTGTTAAGAGCAGCCATATAGATAGGGACACACACACACACATGCCTTCAGGCTCAGAGCGCCAAACTGTCTGACGCTGCTCTGGATTTCTCAATGTGCTGCTCGCTGCGATTGTTAATGGTGCACGCACAACACTTTGTTGCCTTGGTAGCGGAGGTGGCACACGATCAGGAGGGCAGTCGTAAAAGGTTGCCTTAGATGTGACCTCTCTCACGACGGCCACGTGTCGAGCGAGGTAGCAGTAGGGGCAAGACTTCTTTTCCTCTGAGCAAGATTCTTGACTCTGCACCCCGCGCCTCTGTGTGTACAACCACTGTGATAGTCTACGATCAGCAGCAGGTCGCTTGCAGTAAGAGTCAAACTGAACTACTAAACTATTTTCTTGGTTCTTTCGGTAAAGTCACGTAGAAGGGAAATAATAAAATAATAAAAATAAAACATAATAAAACAATTCTCACGACGTTTCGGCCACAACGCAAGCAGCCGTCCTCAGTTACTGCAGCTACATACTATTAACACTCCTTCCCTTTATTAATGCTACCCCTATCCCCTCCCTTCAGACGCTGTCGCCTCGACAGACTTGGTTTTCACCTGAGGACGGCTGCTTGCGTTGTGGCCGAAACGTCGTGAGAATTGTTTTATTATGTTTTATTTTTATTATTTTATTATTTCCATTCCACGTGACTTTACCGAAAGAACCAAGAAGATGAATCCCTGCAGTCACGAAAGCTTTAGATCGAAAAATGTAAACAATTTTTTGTATTTTACCAAGTAATGCCCACTGAACGATGTCGCTCTTTTGCTCAGAAGCGACCTGGCCACAAATGATTTCTCAACGAAGTAAGTGGCTTGTCACGTGCGCATTTAAATCTGCCAAAAATTCTTACACGCACGTTTAAGAGCAGTGACGTGTGAGCCACGACGCAGGAGTTGCGCCTTTGACACGCGTGCCTCCTGGGTGTGATGTACACAGGGCTAGTAGGCTCTCGTATCGTCAGTGCTGTCGTTAAGGGCACGATACGCCACAACACCCAACCCTGAACCCCCGTGCCGCTTCAGGCGATGACGCTGTCAACGTGTGAATCACATTAACGCATGAACTCGTCTTCAATATACGATGGTTTATTTTTTTCCC